CATCGTGAACATGGAGCCCTGCCAGCGCTCCATGGACAGGCTGGTCACCGATAACATGTTCTGCGCGGGTTACAGCTCGGAGGTTGGAGATGCCTGCAAAGGGGACAGCGGTGGCCCTTTCACCGTGTCTTACCACAACACTTGGTTTCTCTTGGGGATTGTAAGCTGGGGCGAGGGCTGCGCTGAAAAAGGAAAATACGGTGTGTACACGAGAGTATCCAACTACATCCCCTGGATTAAAGAGATGGTTGAAAGTGTAGCGGATTCAGGAAACTTTTCCATTAACTTTTCCTAATTCCATCTTTAAAAACAAGGACAATTCTATTATTACTGTGTTTTGGTCTAAGATACGATGCGGTTCCTCTCCTTAACGGTGTAAAATTATCAAATTATCTTCAAATAAATTTTGAGTCTGTTTACCATAAAAGGTTCAATTGTTCATTCAAGTATTACTGAGTAAAATATTTGTGTATAATAAAGAACTATTCTGCAAATAACACCTGCAGCTTTTCTTCATGCAAATCCTTACCAGGAAGGGGGCTTTATCTTGGTTCTGTTGCTGTGTACAACTGTTACCTCCAGTACAATCCAGTTTGCTAAAACACAAATATTTCCTGATACAACATCTGCATGGAATTATGTATTACAAATTGCACTGGACTCCACAGGGCTGTATCTGGAGAAACATTAAAGGGCAGCTCTGCTCCAGCAGCTGCTGAGAGAAGGCCTGGGGACGGGCTCCCTCCTCCCACCTCTGGCTCTGGGCTGTTACCACAGCAGCAGAACTACAAACCCCAGAGCTACAGGAGCAAATAACAAAACGGTCCACTTTTTAATTTTTTTTTTCTTCTAAGAAAGCTCTTTATTCTGAAGGCACTCCCCTCATGTAGTTCACCTCTCCTAGGATGTGATGAAAACCAGTAATTCACAGGTAAGATTCTTGTGAACAGACACGGGGGGGAAACACACGCCCCAACACAGACACAAATCACTTTTGTTATCATATACAATAATTTGCACCAAGCCATCCCTCTCAAGAGGCTGATTTCCTCAGTGCTAAAAACGCAGGTGAAATAAAACACCAGTGAGCAAGTGATATAGCCCCAACTAGTTGGCCCCTTGGAGTACCTCAGTGCCAAGAACTGCCTTTCTCTGCTGCAATTAATAGTTGGGCTGTGGCCCGTGTCAAAAGTTTTGATTTTTTTGTGACACTTCTTGGAATTCACTATGACGGTTTAATAAACAAAAGTCATCACACCAATGAGTGGTTCTCTTCCTCAGCTTTATTCAAAGCCTTGTAGAAGTCTATACTTACCCTTCCATGAGAACCAGAACTTCTGTTTGCCTCAGAGAAGACATGATGCTGAGTAATTATGATTAAGTTTTATGGTAAGAAACTGACCACCACAGTCAGTATTTTAAGGAAATATTGCTTAGAATTTTAAAAGTAGCCCACAGTCCCCCATGGTTGCAGTACCAGAGCTACAAAAATCGTTTGGCAGCAGGGTGGGGGAAGCACAAAAAAGAGAGAAGGGAAGGATGAGGGCAAAGAAGAGAAAAAAAGAAAAAGGAAAGCAGAAAAGAAAAAGGAAAAAAAAAGCCCATTCTAACCCCTTGACCTTCAAGGCAAACCAGAACCTAATTATGAACAGCTCCACACCATTCCTTTGTTCACGTAATTGCAACTGCCAATCTGGCAGGAGGAATTCCCCATCTTCCAATAAATTCTTAATTAAACACGGGGAAAAAATTCCCCAACCCCCTGAAACTCTCAGCATGCTGAAAACACCACACCTAAGGTCAGTTACAGTGTCACAAACATACCTGGCAAGAGAAGGTGACATGGTCTTACACACCAAATTCCTTTAGTGGGCTCCACCCAGCACAGTCACCCTCCCTAAGTTTTTGCTTCCAAGTTCCTGTCCCAGCACAAGCTTGATTTTATGGTCAGTCCCCATCAGCCTCCCAGGAGCACGTCTGAAATGGAACCATCCACGTACTTGCACTCATTTCAGCATCAGTGCCAGCAGCTGCCAGCGGGACCAAGTGCCTCAGGTCAGCCAACACCCAGATCCCCACAGCTCCAAGGGCTCCCAGACCCACAGAGCAAAACGACAGCAAACGGACTGTGCTCCTCTGCGATGAAGGCAAAGTCCTTACTGACATCCCAACAGCCAGTTACCCGTGCAAGGAGAAGAGTCCTCTTCTTGTAGGCAAGCTCAGCAGACAAAAACATCTTCAGAGGTAGATGTAAAGAAGCAGAGGTACAACGTGTTGCTCTGCTGTCCTTCGGTAGCACCAGGCACAAAGAAATAGCGTTATCCCCCTCACACAGAGATGGGAACCTTCTCCTTACCACTGGTACAAGAGTCGCAGAATGGCCGAGGCTGGAAAGGACCTCAGAGATCATTTAATCCAACCTCCCTGTCATGGGCAGGGACGCCTCTCAACTAGATCAGGCAACACGTGGGGACTAAACAGGGATCAAACCTGTGACATTGGTGTTATGAGCACCACACTCTAATCGGCCCCCAAGAAATCCTTCAGCAAGTCACTGCTGGGCTCCAGAGCAACACACATTTGAGCTAGCCATGTACCAACCCAAAAAACCCAACAAAACATGGGTTTTAAAGCTACAAAATGAAGTGACAGCAGTATTGAGCCCTGCAGCAAAGGCATCACACAGCCAATCCAAGTGCTGCATAAAGCACCCAAAAAACAAGTGTGCAACAATCTAATAATCGGTTTTCTTGAGCAGTCTCACTAACCTGGACTCTAAAGCTTGGTTTATTTTAAAAATTATCTATTGTACCGCACACCACAGAAAGCGGGTCAGCTGCAGCCCTTTGTTCTCCACCAGCAGTCACCGCTGAAGGCTTTGCCGTTTGCATGGAACGCACGGAGCAGTGGTGGAACGTTGCTGTCTGGCTGTGGCCAAGCATTTTAGCTGGAAGCCGCTGAATTTTTTAGTGCTGGGTCTTGCTGGTCTTCTCTTGACTTTTACATCATGCTTTCGTAATGAATGAAATCTTCTGAGTAGATGGTCACTATTTCTAATCAAAACCCATATACGTAGATCTCCAAAGACAGAACAACTGATTAATAAAGCATTGAATAAAAAGGAAATGGACAATGGATAAACAGAAATCAACAATCGGCAGCTTTTCCACATGCCAGGAAGTCCACACACATTCTCTTAAGCAATCAACAGACGGCCCCCCCAAAAAACAGAAGATGTTTTATTGTCTAAAGTGTTGCAATACAACAAATATGTGATCTGTACAAAGGACACAATAGAGCAAGTTTAAATACAATCAGGAGAAAGAAGTCCCCATATTCACAGTCCTCAGACAACATCTCACATCAGAACCTGAACCAACAATTCAAAGATTCACTAAAAAAAACCTCCAAACAAGTCATTAAAAAATTTAAAGGTCTCCAAAGAGTTTATATGTGTGTATTGTCTTACAGCAGAGATCATGGGGTATTCTGTGAAGGGTCACAATGGCATCTTATTGCCCTCAATGCTGATTTTCACTGCATGGGCCGATCTGCTTTTTTTCCTGATATCTGTGAATTTCCGCATCTGTTTGTCCAGTCGACTCACCCCTTTCTTAGAGGTCCCCTGGAACTTAAAAAATAAAACTAATAATTATCACTGAAAAAAAGCAGACGTCCCAGAGGTTCAAGAGAAGCGACGCGTGCAAGGTTAAACCTGCAGGAGGGAGCCAATGGAGCCACTGGTTCCAGTTGGGGTGGGGGTGTGTGCACGTAATCTATATAATATACTGCTCCCCCAGTATATACATCACACATACGGAGGCAGTCACGCTCAGGAAGATCACACAGTAAAGCTTTCACATTACAGGGATTAGTAACCGTGTTAGTTGTTCACATGCCGGCTGAATACACAGTTTGGAAGAGCTTTGTATCTCTCGAGTTTGGTGTCAGAAATACACTGCCCTGCCCCTTCCTGTGGGGCGAAGGGTTTCACATACAAATACACAATAAATTAAGTGGATCGAGGTGATGCATCAGTTCCAAACTGCTATTTAAAGGTCACTGATTAGGACTTGTAAAGCAGGAGGTTACTGGGAAAAAAAAAGGGGTGTAGGGGGAAGCAAAAGAAATGCCTAAGCTGAACATACAAGTTATTAGAAGAGTAATCGCATTTCATATCTGTATTTTAACTGCAAACGAAAAACCCAGATGACGCAGCAGTTATTTTTCACAGATTAAATACAGTGATTCTGTAAAGAAATGCCAAAGACAAACAGCAAGGACTTTCCAAGTCATAGCCATTACTTCCCAGAAAGCATTTTCCACTATCTAGACAACAGGAACAATAAATGATAGAAAGTTCACACCTTTTAAGTTTGAGAGAACAGAGATATCCCGAACACGCTACTTCGTATCTGACAAAAACCATCTATTAGAAACTGAACCTCCTGTTCCCTTCACTGAGGAAGGCGCACCCTACACACTAGTTTTAAATAAACTTTTATTCAAAAACTATTCACTATTCATTGAGATGATATCTGGAATTTCACAGTGATTTTTAAAAAAATACTTTTTTAAAAAACAAATAAATATGAAGCTTAAACTCAATGGTTATCTACCATTTGTGCTAGCCTCCTGTCACTATTACTTTGTGGCATACTGAAATGCAGATTAGAAATTGTCAAAACAATCCTTGCACCGATGTATGTCACTGACTGATCTCCCTCCACCCCACAGTCACAGCGGGGAATTCTTCTTCCCCTGCTCTGCAGAAGTCTCGTGGCTCTCAACCACCCCTCAAGCCTCACGTCACTCAACTTGCTTGAAAAAGTAGGTATTAAAAAACCTTACTTCAGACCAGTAAAAAACATCCGCCACGGATGTTGGTGTACAGTGACATGAGGCCCTGCAGCAAGGGCTAAGAATTCCTGTGTGTCAGTTCAGGAAAACCTGGAGAACCTAGTAAGTCAGAACAGCATCCAAAACCACAGGTGGCGCAAAGCTATTTTTGAGAACAGCTATTTTCATCCAGTGCCTGTCCCTTGGGTACCCTGAAGCCGTCGAGGCAGCCATCCCACCAGATGCTGTGTGCTACAGCCTACTTTTCCTGTACGAGTTCCCTTTTAGGTCACAGTACAGACACGAGAGAATATGAGGAGAGTTTTCCAAGTTTAAGTCGGGGTGTCGACACTCCTTTCCTGTATGTGCAAACTGCCAACAGCTGAAGCACATGCACTGTTCACACCTCCCTTGAGGGATACCTCGCAAACTTGGGGAAGGCAGAGTGTCATGGCTACAGGGGCATCCTGTTGCCTTCAATGCTGAACTTGATGGCCCGATGCACTTTGCTGAGTCGTTTCTGTTCAGCAAACCGTCTCTTGTGTTTTTCCAAGCGACTAATACCTCTCTTAATAGTCCCGGGCTAGAAACAACATCTCAGTTAATGCACAGAAGGAAAGATAACAGCAGACAGCACAGTAATTACGACTTCTTCCATTTACACGTGTTCTACCAGGTACCCTGCTTTTAAATTAAACTGCAACACATAGATGGATGAACCAAATAAAACAAGCCAAAAGCCTCTATTGGAACTGTTAACATACACCAAAACCTCAAAGTTTTCCCAAACTAAAATAATACTAGAAGAACTGCGAGAAGTATGAAAGTATCAGTGACAACACTTATTCAGTTGCAGGTTTAGTTCAAAATGCTCTAAAACAAGAGGCCTGTAATCAGATTCTTACCCTAGAGAGAAACCCTAGAACAGTTAACAAAAATCTCTTGCTAAGGCAAACAACGACACTTGAGTGAAAGTACTTGATGAGCTTAAAATAGCCCACTTGACAGCAGAACTTACTGTCTACCTAAAGTAGAAGAGAGAGTTAAAGAACTACTGTGCTGTACAGGAACAACAGCATTAAGGTGAGATTTCCCAGGCTTAGCCAGAGACAGCTCAGCAGGGAGTCACTAAGCTACCCCACGCGACGCTGCTTACCCTGGAGGACTCCATCTCCACATTCCACTTTGGCCTGACCACGTAGTCCTTGTTGGAGGGCATTGGCACCCTGGCACGGGCACAGAACCCGGGGTCTCCAGGTCTAAGAGCCCTGGAGGAAAAAAAAAAGAAAAAAAAAAGGGGGAACAGCTAGAAACAAATCTTACCTAGGAAGAAGTAGAAGCAATGTATCACATTCCACCTCTGAAACACACTGTTGCCTCAAAAACCTCAAACAAGTTGCATATTGTTAGTACCACTAAAATACTTTTTTTCTAATCAAAATTTTAAAAATAAAAATTCCAACTTACTTTTCCTCTCCAGTTAATACTTTCTCCAGGTCCCTGCGGGGAGTCTGTCCACCAGAGCTGCAAGACAATTAAAATTTAATGTGCAGCCATACACAGGGAGAGTTCTTTTAAAAGACAGTGTGGTAAAAGAGAGAGGTCATAACTTACTATCTTCTTATTTCCCTTATATTTTCAATCTAGTTTGGTTTTCCTCAATGAAGTCTTAGAAAGAAACAAGAATTTCATGTTTCTGTCCTCTGCTCCTACCTGCTCAATCTCCTTCGCTGAGGCATCTGTTCCAAATCTCTCTGTTCCCTCTCTTCTCGTGTCATGCCTTTGTAGTTTGAGGTAAGGCCAAAGATAGGTCGAGACCATTCATCTATTAAAAAATAAATATTGGTTAATGAATGCTAGGCCTCGGAAGTTTATCTCCGAACCATTCTGGTGACCAAATACAGCTTTCAAAGTTTATGGCAAATACTTATGCTTCCTTTCAAGCAAATAAAGTACTTTTTAGCTCTTAACGTCTGAGGGAAACCCAGCCGTGTGGACAGTAAGAAAACTTCCATCCATAAAGTCTCCTGCTGTTGCCTGCTCTTTCGGAATCTGAGTTCTTAGAATGCTTGGTGTCAGGAAGTCCTGTACATTACAGCAAATGGTATTTTAAAAATACGAAAAATAGTTCCTAAAGAACACAAGTTTATGTTTGGAGGCATTCATCATGGAACGCACTACACGTGGACTACAGCTGTTCACGTAGTAAACTTTCAGTAATCTGAGATCTCTCTGAAGTCCATGGAATAAATGGGTTTTCTGGCAGCACCTCCCTGCCTTTGTAGCGCACACGTGAAGTCTGGACAACTAGCCAAGAGAGAATCTGGGCAAAATAAATGTCAACTTCTGATTTAGAACAAGAATAAAAAAAGAGGAAAAGGTGCTTGCAGAACTTAACGTAATAGTGCTTGTTAATAGCTCTACAAAGAAAGCGATGAAACAGATCGATGGAATTCCTACATTGCAGAATTCATTCTACTATAGATGACAGCAAAAAACATGCAACAAAAACTGATGCAGAAATTACATCATCAGTGAAATCTCACTGACGCAAGGCAAAGGGGGTTTTACATACTGATCAGCTTCCCTGCCATATCCTTGTTAGGCCTTGACTCTTTGGGGTGTTTGTAGAGGTACATCACAGCTCGCCCAATGCCACTGTGCTTCAGGGTCTCCTGGCTCACACTGGGCAGCTGCAGGATAAAGGAAAAAGTGAGAAAATAACAATAAATTATGTCTGAATGTTAACAGCGGTACTGAACTCTGCAAAATGACCAAAACTCACCTTCCCAATAAGCTTGAAAAAAATAAACACTTTTCATTATCTCACTTAGAATTGGTTAAAGTATCAAACACAAAATCCCAGAAATTTGCCTTAACATTCTTGGGTTTTATACACAAAATTAAGTTCCCAGAACTATTTGCTTCAAACGCTTTTTTGCTTATCTTACCCAAGAACTGAGTTAACTGCCTTCAACATATTTAAGAAGATAAAAGCTTACGTGGCCAAAGCATTACAGTAATCAGCTTAGCTACAAACACTAAGAGTCTATACTGAGTGCGACGGGCTTCCTAGTGCACAGCACACTTCAAGAGGCTGGAAAAGAGAAGGGACCACGAGAACGAAACACTCAGGGATATGCAGCAAATGACTCTTCACTAAACTTTGCACATCAACCTGCAACAGGTAGGCAGGGCCAAAGAATCTAAGTACGGGCAGAACTCTTGCAACTCTTAGCAAGGAGCATTTCTAGAGCTTCAGTCAAAGAAAGCCAGCTGCCGGTGAGACGAGAAAAACTTCCCTTCTACTTCCCAATCATGACACAGCAAAGACTAACTGAAGTGACCAGTCACAATGTATGAGCCAACGAGAACAAGAGAAGTGACTGACCAGTTTAGATTTATCCAGAATCCAGAAATGCCATAGCACGTAACTCCCTAAGAGAGGACTGAGTACTTAATGTCTGTAGTTCACCTGAGACTCTCGGAAAGGTCTTCTGGCCAGCTGCTAGTAAAACTATTTGCTTTGTTGTAAACATGGGCAAAACGTTCTTAACAATGCTTAAGTGCCTGAAGCTCCCCAGTCAAACTTTGTTCAGCCTGACAGCATGTCTACGATGTAAGACTCATCAATATGATGCAACTTTCAAACACACATATCTATTTTGCAGTTTGCTTCCTTGCAACATCTCCCTAAAGTACATAACTGTAAAGCCATGGAGAAACCACACATCAAATATGGTTAAAAGTCAGTTTCAAACCTCTTGCAGGATCTTCAGAAGCTCCTCTCGTATCTTTAGTGCCGGCAGACTTCGGTCTGGAAGAGGAGAAAGCCACTCCTTGATGGCAGACATAACACCACCATCAATGAAAGTTTCTTTAAGATCCTGCCTAGAAAGTTTAAAGTAAAGAGAAGCCACAAAAGTCATGTAATACATCAAAATCTTAAGATGCGATGGTGCTTCAGCACAACTCTGCACTTGAGTTTGATTCATGTTAAATTAACAGGCAAAATTATGTAGAACTTCAGGTTTTTGAGGACACCTAGCTCCAGCATTTACTTGGAAGATAAGAAGTGTTTCACTGCATACACAGTACAACTGCAACGTCATTCCATGAAATCTACCAAATTCCCAATATTGCCCAAGACGATAATTAACTGAGAATGACAACTCACTTTCTGAGATGCATAACTACAGTTGGTAGCAAAGTTAATTTCTTTAGTGCTGGTTTCTTTTGTGTATTCAGCTGTCGATCCTCCTGTAGGGAGTTAAAGAATCAGCACAAATTAATTAGAAGACGAAATCAGCATCATCCTTTACAACATTTCCAGGCAAAACACTAGTCTACCACAACTTTGGTAGGATTATACTAGCTTTGTACCCTGCTCTATCTTCCTACAGCCTCTTAACTACATTACATGATCATTTCTCTTAAAAAAGGGTCCCCATCTTAGTCAATATTTTCCTTAAAAGGATCACATTAGGAGATTCCTCCTAAAATTATGTCTTTTTTTACCTACTTTGTGATTTAGGTTGATCACAAGAAGCCAGAGGTCTCCAGAGTCCTCCATGCTAGCTCTGCACAGATAACCTAAGAACGTTGTTAGTAAAATCTCACCTCAACAACAGAAAAATTGCTAACCAATAGCAGGGGAACTCAAAAAATGTATATGCACTTCAGCTAAGAATATAACTGGATAATCCAGAGGTTTAGGATGCAGCCTAGCGCAGGTACCATAAGGGCACATCAAAGTGCATCATGCTCTAAACCAAAGTTTGGGCTTCAAAGGGACGATCAGCCACGGCCATAACGTCACTATTTGTCAGTACTTGGGCTTCTGGATCAAAGCAGATCCATTTCAATCACAGATCTAAGTCCTGCTATCGCAATTCCTTTGCAGTCATTTTAATCCACTGAACGCTCTTTCTGCAAAATGACTTTTAATTGCAAGGGAGGAGATTATTCCCCTTCTTCTCCTTTTTAACAAGCTCCACAGTGACGTTCATTAATTTCATTGATATTCCAATAAACTACAACCTCAACAGAAGATGCCTGACAAAAGGCAAGAACCCAACAAACCTCGCACAGAAACATATTAAACAAGACTCCCCCAAAAAGGCCATCTGCCATGGCAAAAATCCCATAATCCTGTTGCTCTGCCACCATTTACCACAGTACTGTCATTCAAGCAGTTTAGAAAAAGGTTCTTCTCAGGAACAAACATTAAACCACGACATATGCCAGTAACTGTATAACGAAATTAAAACACAGTTCCTTTCTCAGTGTTTGATATATTTATGTAGTTTATAGAACACGCATGCATCCCTAGGAGACAGCTGATTTCAGATGATAAAATTAAAATTAGTTAACTTGCTAAACTTTTTAAAAGTAATAAATAAATTTTCTCCAAATTTTAACAGAAGAAATGTTTTGATTCAGAGTGGCATAATAACATTTAAACAGTTTAAACAGTTCAAACATTTAAACAGTTATTGAAATATCGGAGCCTTCCACAGCATATGGATTACTCCTCCTGAGTACCAGTCAGACTTCTGTGTTTCACTCGTGACAAGATTTTCCTACAAAATTGAACTGGATTTTAAGGTGTCTTCGGAGCCTAAAAAACTCACCTCAGCAGCTTCGTTCATCTTCACGATCATAGCACTGACCACATCATCTGCATCACTAATAAAAGTTCCACCATCACGGTTTCGTCTACGCTTGCCACTCATACTCTTCTTCCGTTGCAGCATCATGTCAAAATCTGACATGAAATCCATACTGAAATGCAAGAAGAGTTTGCTGCTGGTCAGAACAGGGTTGATCTTACTGTCTCCGTAGAAAACAATTTTGTTATTTCTGTAGCATAATCTTTCAAAAATTCTCCAATAAATCTAAGGTGGCCAACTTCAACATCAATCCTTGGAAGAGCCCTTTCACTAAAACTTGATATTAACAAAGGAGTATGTAACACATTGACTTACTGCTTCCCTCTTTTGATGTTATCGTCAGAGTCCGACTCATCAGCTGTTTCCTTCATGTCGGCATCACCTTTCTCTTCCTCCAAATCTTCCTGGTTAAAACCCTGATGGGTGAAGACAGGGCAAATCAGTGTACAAATTAATACGGTGCCTCTACTCAGGCACCTGACTCTGACACTCAGAAAGTTTCCGCTAAGTCCACAGGGGATCTAGAAGAGGAACAAAGGCTTCCCAATTCCACCTGTGACTCTAACAACCCTCCTAACAGAAGAGCTGTAAATGCTATTTAGGCCAAAGACAACCTCAGCGAGTCCAGCAGATACAAAGCACCTCTCTTGGTACAGAGTATCCTTGAACAGGAGCTCCAGGCCAAACACCCATTGTCAAGTACGTTCCCATGGAGATTAGATGTAGCAAGCAAAAAACAGACATCCACAGGAACACTTACTGTAAATTCCTCTTCTTCCTCATCACCAGATTCTCCAAATATATCTGCAATCAGGTTCCTGTGAAGGTAACAGTAACATTTATTTCTTTAGACTGCAAGAGTGAGAAGTGCATTTTCTGCAAAATTTCTAATGACTGTGTGGGGATCCACCTTTCATTTTGCCACCTACTACTGACCTTCCTCTCCACACTGCCAGTAAAGCGGACAATCATTCTCTGGCTGGGATTTATCCGTCCTCCATGATCAATCTCCCTATTTGCAACCCTGAAGGAATTCATATTCCCAGAAACACTTACTCTTGTTCATTTCCAGATTCACTGTCACTGCCAAACAGATCTTTCTCTTCTTTTGTCTTTCCAGCATTCTCTTTTCTTTCTTCTTCTTCTTCTTCCTCACTATCCGATACAATATTTTCCCTCCTTTTGTCAGATTTCTCTGAAGCAGCATCACTATCTGATTCTTCAACATCAGAAAGCATTCGTACTTTTTTTGCAGCTGCCAACAGAAAGGAGCATTATGACACATCTCTTGTAACAGAGGTGACAACTGGTACTCTCGAAGAACTATTCTCTCAAATTCAATTCGGACAAGAGGAAAGCTGACCAGCCTTCCTAAACAAAATCACTGTCATTTGTTAAAAAAAATCCATTCTAAAATCTCTTTTAATCAGTAAGAGAAGCTGCCATATACCACACCTATCCCTAAAAAACTTCTAACTTCAGAACTGACTCTCACCCTCAGTATATGAAAGAAAAAAAAAAAAAAGAGGAAAAAATGACTAGAGAAATAACAACAAAGAGAAATCACTAACAATAATCAAAGTGACAACAGAACACAGTATAAAGCAAGATCACTGCAGTCTTTTTTTACATCTATTAAATCTACTTATTATTCAAAAGTATTAGATAAACATTCACATAGAAATCCAATCAGAACAATGGCCTCTACAAATGCAGTTGTGTTCTAAAAACACAAATGCAGTTGTGTTCTAAAAACAAATGTATAAATGTGCTTTATGGTTTTCAATTTATCATAGATGTTTTATTCCCATAAAAGTAATTATTTAAGTCTAACACTACTGCTTGCCACATCACATTTCTATTTTCACGCTTTAATTTCTTACGTGTTTTCTCATTGTCATCCTCACTGTCAGAAACGATAGCAGCTTTCCTCTTCATTGCCTTCTCCTCCTCTTTCTCTTCTTCATCACTGTTTGATATTTTTCGCCTCTTAGGAGCTTCCTCTTCACTGTCAGAGCCCTGAAATCGGTCCCTTACAGGTTCGTTATCTGAATGATGAGAATCATTCTGCACCTCCTCCTTCCTGTCCTCCCCGTCACTATCCTCAGAGTCTCTTTCTCTTTTGCGTCTGGAAACAGCCTCGCTCTCCGAGTCACTAGCCGGCTGTCTGCGGAGCTCCTCGCTCTCGGAGTCGCTGGCCGGCTGCTTGTGGAGCTCCTCGCTCTCGGAGTCACTGGCCGGCTGCTTGTGTGATTCCTCATTTTCAAAATCACTGCTGTGATCCCTGTGAGGTTCTCCATTTTCAGAGTCACTTGCTCGATGATTTAAGGCATCTTCATTTTCAGAGTCACTTAAATGTCGATTTGGACGGTCCTCAATATCGGAATCACTGTCCTTCCCTCCGTGAGTTGCTTCATTGTCTGAATCACTTACGTTGTGATTTGGAGGCTCCTCATTATCTGAGTCACTGTCTTTTTGCCTTGGGATATCTTCATTTTCAGAGTCTGTCATATGAGTCTCTCCCATTTGCCCATCATCTTCCCCATCACTGTGTTCATTCTGAAAGAGAAAAATAATCTCAGGCAGCTAAGCAAAAAAAAAATAAAAAATTAAAAGCAAATAAAACTCTTCTGAATTTTTGCTTGTCCTTCCTCCAATTTGATTACTCACGGTACTGCAAACTGAAATAATTTCTACATAGAAATAATTATTAGACAATTTGCATCAAAGGACTATCAAATACTTCAGATCAAGAAAAACATTAAGAGATCAATGGAAGTCAGTCATATCTTGGAAATGGTAACAGAACTAAAACACACTCAAATAAACATGTCTAAAAAGGGTCCAGGTCCTTGAGGGTAAATGCTTAGTGCTTTTAATTTAAAAAGTCAGGCATTCAAAGCAGATTAGTCCAAATCCCCAGTAACAAAGTGAAAAAGTGTATCTTGCACTTATTTTCTTTTTCTTCAAATCTCAAACAGCTTTTCTTTGCATTGAATACATTTTACTGAAACTGCACAAGCACTACTTTCCAAGTGAAACTCAAGACAGTTTGTGCTCTTTCCTTCTTTGGCAAGGAAACTTATTTAAGAACAAACCAAGACCAAAAGCCTACCAAAAAACAGGAATGAAGTTTTAGTAAGACCTTTCAGAATGTTATTGCTAACAAGTTTTGTGTTTCAATGTGTAAGAACATATTAAATGCTTCTCTCCCTTAAGGTGATAGCTCCCAGGCCTATCCAGGCACCTGGACAACCTACGCACAGATACACAGACCTTCTTAAACCTTTAGAACTGAAACACAACCCTTGGTGTCTTTTTCTACATGGCAAAAAATACTGAGCCGCACGCTCCATTTTTGCAAAACCCTTTCACAAGCCACCTGTCAATATAGTTCCTGACAACATCTCCTTTTATCTTTCCTACAACGTCTAATTCCCTCTTGGAAAAAAAATAATAATCTCAACTGCATTTACCTGAGAAAATAAAATTAGACTCTCAAATACTCATTTCATTAACTCAGGACACTTCTCGCAGCCACTGTCACAATGATCCCATTTTCAAACGAAAAGAAAAAAAACATAAAAGGAACTTTTTTTCTACATACTCAACTTTTCAGCCAGACTTCCCTGAGAGGTGGTTTTATCTCAGCCATAGACTCCTCCCACCTCAGCATATCTGCAAACTGAATATTTATTGTCCTAAGAGACACTTTCAAGACCCAAATGTCCTGAAGCTTCTAAACCATTTTTTGTCAGCAATTCCATTTCCCAGATTCAGAGCCATACAAAATAATGCAGGTGTATCTATGCTCCACCTACAACAAACGCTGTTCATCTTCAAATGTATGGAAAAGAAGGAATTTTATTCAAATTTGAATCGCTTTCAGGAACTACCACCTCCAGAATTATACTTAGTGACAAATAAGATCGCCTTCTAAGCTTCTGGACCTTACACATTTATTCCTCAGGCTTGTATTATCAATTTTATATTGGTAACTGCAGAACCACTGATAGAAAGTTACTGCACAATGGAAAACGCATCAGGACTATATAATTTTAAAACATGCACTTCAAATACAACTTAACAATTTCCATGTTTCTTAACGCTAGTTATAAAACCAGCTGCTGTGATAATCTGAGTAGTTTTTCCTCAACTGCTTGCCTGGCTCTCTGCAGAGATGCCAGTCTTTCGAATCATGCTGGAGGTATTATTCAGTATTTCTCCTTTCTCCTTACAGAAAGGAAACGTAGCTCTGTTAAAATCTGAATCTCGAATTTTAAAGACTTAAAACATGAGGATTAATAAAATACAGAACTGAGGAAGACCACAGACACACTCAACTGCTCTCAGCATGTTATGGCATTTTATTTACTTCTTTTGTTAACAAAAAATTAATTTGATCGTCCTCTCCTGCCCAATATCTCCCATATAAACAAAAAAGACGTGTATGTGATCCATTTTCTCTGACAGTATTGTCCGAGATTAAAGAAAACTGCAGCTAGAAAACAGAACGGGAAACATTTTAGAGCAGAGTTACAGGTAATGCCACTGAAGAGTACTGAAATGCAAAGGTCTGCAACGAAATTTATACTGATAATAGAAAGTCTTGAATTGTTATTTTCCTATCATTTAAATTTTGGTGGGTTTGTCCATTTTCTCTTGATTTCAGATGGCTAATGCTAAATAGATACTGAAAATTATGTCAACAGTAATAACAGATTTTGCTAAACACAACCAAGAAAAAAACCACAAAAAATCCTGCTCAAACTATTAGGCTCACCGACTTCCAGACTAGCAGTCTAGAAAATCTTCAGTGAACAAGTAAACAAAGGTAAGAAACAACTGGAATCCATAACAATTCCTAAACATTTCTAAGGCTGGAAGCGTGGCTGCAGGTTATATATCCACCTTTTCAGGAGTTGTTACTAAATTACAAAGAACTTCCTATGCAAAAGACTTGGTAAGAAGTCATTATAATTATACAGCGTTAGTGCTAAAGCACTTTATGACATACTGAACCTCTAATCTGTTACTGCTGGGGAGGGAGAGCAGCCACGCATCCTAATTAGCTCAGGCACCACAGAGCCCCAGCGGTTACAGCAGCTGAACTATTTGATATAACAACCTACAGAAGAACCACTCGGATGACAGGGGTGCCCCAACCGGGACGGGGCAGACAGGCACCACCTACCCTCCTCCTGAGCCTGGAAAGCGCACCCAGAGCCAGCCCACAGAGCGCACTCTTCTCTGCAGCCGGAAAGCCTCGTGGAGGGTTGGCGCCCGCCACCTGGGACTCAGCACTTTACGGAACTGAGTGTGCCCCAAAGCAGAACCCAGACAGCGCCGGCTCGCTTGGAGCCTCCACGGAACAGCCAGGCCCTACCCACAGCCCGCGGCACAAAGGTCTTCTCAGAACAACCAAGGAATCTGTGAACAGTTTGGAATATACTTGATATAAAAAGTGCGTGCAACTTTACAGTAAGATGACTGTAGGACAGTCTCCCCACCACCACTCCAACCTTTTTTTTTTTTACTACTTCGTCTCTAGAAATATGTTTTCAAAGAAATCAAGTATGCAATTTTGGAGTTGTCTATTTTTCCATATCCTCAAAACCGAGTAGGTCTCAGGTAATTGCTACTGCATTTTTCTCTAATTCCTTTGCTTTCTTTTCTTCCTCCTCTTTATCTATAAACATTCTAATTAAGATGTCCTTAATTTTTTTTAACTGAAAGAATTCTATAACATGAGTCTTTAGTACAGTATAAAATAAGGAATACATGAAAATCAAATTTACAGTGTTATCCTTCTATATAAAACCTGTTAGCAAGTAGTTTATTGGATCAACATGCAGCCACTTTTAAGAGGTACTACTTAGATAATTAAGTTCAACAAAATTGACCCATCCACTACAATCTCATGAACGACAACCGTTAAACTACAGCATACATACACATCACAGGCAGATCAGCAAGTGTGTCTTGTTTCAGAAATATAAGATTGTTGTATATATAATTTGTTAACAGTCACAGTCAAACCATAACTTAACTCACGAAGACAGCAGCAACTTGGTGAAAGTGTAAAAATCTAAGTCATTAAAGATTTCCATGAGCCTGACTTGTACAAACACTGTAAACTTGATTTCATATTTGTTACTGTACTAAAACTATGTGTTATCTAATTCTATTTGTCGAAAGCAGAATTGGTAAGGACATCAAGGAGAACATTTATAGACAAAGTGGGACTGGGGGAAGGAAAGCCAGAAAAGAATTGTGGAAAAGAAAAACCCACATACCTGAGACCTACATAAGTAATTCCTCAGGATGTCCCTTTTCCTTAAAGTTAAGAACCTGAAAGAAAAGTTTGAAAGTTTAAAACCTCAGTTCTTTACATCTGAGTTCTAAATTAGAGACGAAATAGTAATTAAATAGACTTAACTGATTAGGCTGTCTCAAAGGTTTTATTACCTTTGAGTGTCATTCCTCCCACATACTCCTAAAGATGAAGGAAATAAGAGGTTGAGAGAATATTTAGGGTAAATAATCCGAAAACTCACTGGAAGCTATTCCTTCCAGAGACAGCTGCTCCACGTTACTGCATATTGAGTTGCATGTTGAATTTGATGTGGAGAAAACTAAGAGTGTAAGACTTCATAAGAAAACAAAATACTCAAATATTTATGATTCAAACTGAAACAAAAAGTGCACCAAGGCTTGAAGCTTCACATCTACTATTGGGCAGAAAGGCCGTTTTGTTTGTTTTTCTTTGAGGTTGTTTTGGTTTTTAATGGACTTTCTGAAGTATTTTATCTACAGAGGAATATTCAACAGCCATCACAAAATAAAGTCCTTAAAATAATGCAGGCACATGAAGAGGATCAGTTAGCAGTGATAACAGGTCCTAGTACTTTCTGGTTATTTAAATCTGAAAAAGACATATTGAAGATGTAAGTCAACTACCTGTTCTTTAGGCCAAATTTCCAACTACTTCACCACAGTAAGTAAAATTAAAATCTCAAACGAGTATAAAAGAGGAAGAACAAATGACCAAGTTCTGATATATGGCAGAAAAAGCTTAGTACTACTGTTGCAGCGACACAACTCTCCAGGCACTCGTCTTTTTTTTTTTTTTTTCATTAAAACAGAAATACTAAACCCTCCAAAAGGCAGTTATTTTTCCCATGCGGAAAAGGCTATTTTGTCCCACACTGAAATCCCGATTGTCACAAGAGATGCTGCCTCACACCAAACCACTTTCTTCCACTGTAACTAACAACATCTTTAAAAAAAAAACAAAAAAAGCAAATGGCAAATCTGCTTTACACCCAAATACATGAAAAGAACTTTCGTTTGATATAAATATAACATCTTCATCTACTTTCTAACTCTAAGGAAAGTATGAATTCATAAAGCAAGAGGGAGTAGAGGGGGAAGGACTGCAACTTACACCACAGCAGAGAGGAGCCTTCTGACACATCAGCCTGCTACAAGGTATCACATCAAATTGTAAGCACTTTTTAAAAGGTACAACCAGGAAAACCCAGAGTCAATCCTGATCTTTATATGAAATGTAACAAAATACACAGAACAGAATGAAACGTCTTTGATTACAGTTTTTACGAGTACCAGAAAGTTTTCCATAACACAGTTTTGCAGGCAGACAAGGTAAGTTTACAGGTCAAAAGTATTGCTTCCTAGTAAGACCTGATGTAATTTTATTTTAAGACACAAAAAAATCCTCAAAATTTAAGATTAACTTCAAAACTCTGCAAGAAATCTAAAGAGAACCTTCAGTTTCATCAGTATTGCTTTTTAATCAAAATAGTCAATCCACAAGCAACTCTCTCCCAGGTATGACCCTGGATCAAAGCGTCACCGCCCTCTGCCTGGTGCAGGCTTCTGGAAGCAAGAACCTCTACAGAGGAAGGACAGATCCCCTTTAGGAACCTTAACCTGCCCCACAGCAAGACCTGCTCCTTTGTGAATGACAAGGTGAAAAACACAGCACAAAATAGACTTGGAAGTCGACGCTCACATCTGAGAGGAAAGATGGATGATGGGAGAACATTTCTTCTTTGGTAAGGAAATCTATGCCTTCACAGAGTGTGCTTTACCGGGCAGCATGTGAGGTAAAACTCCAAACCCCTCATTGCTCAGAATTTCAAACCCAGTAAGTTCATCTTCCTGGAATCAAGTAGAGCAATATTAAACTTTTTCTAGCACAGAACAGTGAATGCTACTGTATCAACTAACAATCACAGAATCGTTCAGGGTGGAAAAGACACTCGGGATCATCGAGTCCAACCCTTACCCCTACTCTGCAAAGCTCACCCCTAAACCATATCCTCCAACACCACATCTAAACGACCTTTAAACGCATCCAGGGATGGTGACTCAACCACCTCCCTGGGCAGTTTATTCCAATATCTGACTACTCTTTCTGTAATTTTTTTTTTCCTAATGCCCAGTCTAAACTTACCCTGTTGCAGTTTGAAGCCATTCCCTCTTGTTTTGTTGCTAACTACCTGTGAGAAGAGACCAGCACAAACCTCTCTACAATGTCCTTTCAGGTAGTTGTAGAGAGTGATGAGGTCTCCCCTCAGCCTCCTCTTCTTCAAACTAAACAGCCCAGCTCCTTCAATCATTCTTCATAAGATTTATTCTCCAGGCCCTTCATCACCTTCATTGTCCTCCTCTGCACTTGCTCCAGCACCCTGATACCTCTCTTGTATTGCGGTGCCCAAAACTGGACACAACATTCAGGTGTGGCCTCACCAGTGCCAAGTACAGAAAAATAAAAGACACCTTATGCTACATATTAGTCAAGAGATTATTCAACACATTTCTTCCTGGAAGTAAAGTCATGTCCTTAAGAACAACTGAATAAATATATGTCAGTTAGAAGAAAATGCCTCTTCAAACAAACAAAAAAATGGATTTACAGAAGAGGAATCTTTAGCTAGATAAAGTTCCAGTAGTACCTCTGAATGGTGCTCTACACTTCCATTCTCAGATCCAGAATGTTGCTCATTTCCTTCATCTTCAACATCAGACCCTGAATCTCGTTCATCTTGAACTGGAGTAGCTCCACCATCATCTACTCCGAAGTTAGGAAAAGAAAAGTGAAACTCAGTGACATCTCCCGGCCTTTAAAGGAGCCCCGGCAGAAACGATAACCAGGGGGCCTGACAGCGCTACCTTTTTACAGCGCTGATACAGAGAAAGGGGGGCTACCTAGCTACGGGGAAGGTGTGGAGCGACCCCACCACCCAGGCCCCCCCGGCGATCACAGAACCGCTCACAGCACGCACGCAAGCAGGGACTGATACGCTAAATAAAACACCCAACTCCTAACGACGCGGCC